ACACACACAGGTAGACAGAAAGACACACACACAGGTAGACAAAGACACACACAGGTAGACACACAGGTAGGCATGATAATTGTGTGTGGAAGTTGCATGAGGGTCTGTTCCTAAATGTGCTCATTTCTGTAATATACAGGGGTGAGACATGGGAGAATGTGAATAAACCCAGTGAAAAAAAAAGAGGGTACAATAAGAGAACGTTTTATTAACATCCATGGGTCCAAACTGTGTAACACTACCAGAGGTTATTAGGAGCAATGTCACAATAGGTGTAGAAGTTTTCACAAATACGTTAGACTTGCACCACCTCCAAGTGCCAGATCAATCAGGTTGTGATAGATATGTGGGCCATCGGGCTGCCAGCCCTAAAAGCCTATTTGGTCAGGCAAGCACCAAACAAACCTGGCCCCAGGACCGAGATGTGAGAGTAGGAAAATTCTAAAAAGCCTCTGAGGATATATCTAAGGTAAAGATGGCACACTATAAGACAAAATATTTTGTATACTAGTATGTTGGACACAGCCTGGCCCATGGCTGGGCTCCGAGAGTAGCAAGACTATTGAAACACGTCAAAGGTATAGCCATTGTCTGCATATTAATACGTTGGACACAATTAAGAGCTTAATTAGAACACAAGGTCAGAAGTTCACGGTTCCCGTCATGTGTTGCATAGGACAGGATTTTTTTATATACTATGCACACCCACTACGAAGACCCCCATTTTTTCATGTCTGTGCTAAAATTTGCCGTTCACAGCTTATATGAGGGCGTTTTGATTAAGAGGTAGACTTGTATCTGCAACACTGGCCTCAGTGACAAATCTACATAAGACAGTGAAAGGATTAAATTAACAAGGTTATGCAGTGGAACCCCGGATTTCGTACTTTAATTCGTTCCAGAAGGTCGTTCTAAATCAGAAACGTATGAAAGCCGAAGTAATATTTCCCATAAGAAATAATGTAAATACAATTAATCCACTCCAGACACCCAAAAATATTAACAAATACATTATTTAAAGAATAACTGTAGTTTTACGTACAGAAAACAATGAGAAATAAATATAAATGACTAATTTTAATTACAATGAACATTACATACCATTATTGAAGACTCTTGTTGGCGTATTGAAGAAGGCGAGGAGGAGAGAGGGAGTTGAGGTTATTTGGAAGGGGAATTGCCCTCTATAAGGACTTCAGGTCAAAGCCCTCTCTGGGGCTACTTCCTGTGAAGGCTTCCTCAGCCCTGTAAGATCTTAAATAGGTATTACCAAGGCTGACTCCTCCTTAGGAAAATTAATGAATAGAAAAAGAATAACAACATAAAAATATAAACACTTTGTTGTTATAATTGAAAATATAAAACATTTAAATATGAACTTTTATCCTACGTGAAAGAGTAATGAAAAATGAAATATAAAAAATGATATTTGAATTCAACGCTAATATGTACAGTTGGACTGGGGTGTCTGATTGATGTTGTTGACACCGTGCCTTGTAGAAATTGTAGCTGTTGCTGATGATGGGGGGGGGGGTGTCACAGCTGTTGAGTGACAACCAACGACTATTTTGTCACAGTATCTCCAGCCTAGAATACTCCGTCAAGATGATAGGAACGCAGGTCCTTCACCACTGCAAAGATGAGGGGTAGTTGCCTGGGGTTGACTACACTCGGGTACATAGATCAAGGGTGATGTCCCAGATCTTATGTAAAGTTCGTCTCCTTCAGCACTGTCTCTGTGGTTGCCAGATGACCCAAGCTGACATTCCAAGCTAGAAAGAGACAAAAGTTAACCACTGCTTGAGAAATCACTCTCCATGATAAGTAAAGCATTTAAAACAATGGTGAGGATTTAAAAGCAAAACACGAAAATCAAGGCAGTATGAACTAAGTCTTAGAATTGGTTAAAAGTGAAGCTTTTAACCAATATATCCACTAAAATAGGAGCAGAGGCTTTTACTTACAGTTGTGTGGGAGCTGAGAGTCAAGTGATTATCCATTTGGTCGGAGCCCCCCACGTCACCTTTCCGGGTGGAGAAAAGGGGGGGGGGGATAGCGGGAGCTAGACACTGACCCTACCTTAACAAGCAGACTGGCAATCAAACTATCGTCACCATATACTCGCTCGCTACTCCTATCTGTTGAACTTTACCCTCACACTTCCCTTCTTTGCCTTTTACTGGCACTAGACCTCTGTCACACCAAAAGTCTGTCCAGAGAGCTCTGTTTCTGGTGCCTCTTTAAGATTTTCTTAAAATGGGACAAGGTATTGTCACTGAACATGTTGCAGATATGGCTTGTCTGTTTTGTAAGCATATTTACCCCTTTTGCAACTTTATCTTCTGTGATTTCTACTTTCTTTGCCAGGATGGAACAGATTGTTAATTTCGACTTCCCATACATCCTGGCAAGCTCGGCTAAACGTACGCCACTTTCATAATTTTCTACAATCTCTTTATTGAACTCTATCGTGTTTCTCACCTTTACCAAAGGAATTTTCTTTGGGCCCATGGTGGCTTATTTCTCAGTCGCAGTCAATAAACAAGCCCAAAAATTGCGAAATGTTTCGGATGAATGCTCAGCTACTGGATCACTACAACAAGGTCCTAGATGCACTAGAAGACAAAGAAGAATGCAGATGTAATATATACAGACTTTGCAAAAGCTTTCGACAAGTGACCATGGTGTAATAGTGCACAAAATGCGTGCTAAAGGAATAACAGGAAAAGTTTTTAGATGGATCTATAATTTCCTCACAAACAGAACACAGAGTAGTAGTCAAAAGAGTAAAGTCTGAGGCAGCTATGGTGAAAAGCTCTGTTCCACAAGGCACAGTACTCGCTCCCATCTTGTTTCTCATCCTCATATCTGACATAGACGAGGATGTCAGCCACAGCACCGTGTCTTCCTTTGCAGATGACACTCGAATCTGCACGACAGTGTCTTCCATTGCAGACACTGCAAGGCTCCAGGCGGACATCAACCAAATCTTTCAGTGGGCTGCAGAAAACAATATGAAGTTCAACGATGAGAAATTTTAATTACTCCGATATGATAAACATGAGGAAATTAAAACTTCATCAGAGTACAAAACAAATTCCTTCCACAGGACGGATAATGAGAACTTTCAAAACTAGGGATGCCAAGCCCATGATGACACTCTTCAGGTCGCTTGTTCTATCTAGGCTGGAATATTGCTGCACACTAACAGCACCTTTCAAGGCAGGTGAAATTGCTGACCTAGAAAATGTACAGAGAACCTTCACGGCGCGCATAAAGAAGATAAAACACCTCAATTACTGAGAGCGCTTGAATTTCCTGAACCTGTACTCCCAGGAACGCAGGCGGGAGAGATACATGATTATATGCACCTGGAAAATCCTAGAGGGACTAGTACCGAACTTGCACACGAAAATCACTCGCAACGAAAGCAAAAGACTCAGCAGACGATGCAACATGCCCCCAATGAAAAGCAGGGGTGTCACTAGCACGTTAAGAGACAATACAATAAGTGTCGGCGTCCGAGACTGTTCAGGTGCCTCCCAGCATACATAAGGGGGATTACCAATAGACCCCTGGCAGTCTTCAAGCAGGCACTGGACAAACACCTAAAGTCGGTACCTGACCAGCCGGGCTGTGGCTCGTACGTTGGATTGCATGCAGCCAGCAGTTACAGCCTGGTTGATCAGGCTCTGATCCACCAGGAGGCCTGGTCCCAGACTGGGCCGCGGGGGCGTTGACCCCCAGAACTCTCTCCAGGTAAACTCAGTGAGTGACAGAGCCAGACTGAGACATGTACACATGAGAGTAGCGGCATCCTGGGTGGGCAGACGCTTCTGATCAGTACGATTTCCGGATGGAGGTACGAAATCCGGACCAAAATTTCACCCAAAAAAGGTTATTTGAATCCGAATTGTACGATAATCGGACTGTACGACAACCGGAGTACCACTTTATTATTATACAGAAGCAGTGATTGATTAAATTCCAAGTACTGTTAATGCATAAAATGGGGCTTGTAATAATTTGGTAGAATTACCGACAATATGTAAAGTAAAAGGGCACAAATGCAACTAATGTGACATTTTTAGTGTGGTAATGTTTCGCTTTCCAGGAGCTTCGTCAAGCAGGTAACGGCTTGACAAAACTCCTGGAGAGTGAAACATTGCCACAATAAAAATGTCACATTAGTTACACTTGTGTCCCTTTACTTTACATAAAATGGGGCTTTCTACAGTATACAAAAGAAAATATGAGCGCACACATGCCAAATGGAAACACAAAATTCTCTTTCTTTAATCTTCAACTCTGAAAGGTTAACAATAGTCTTCTCCCATTTTAGTGTTGGTCTAGTTACTTGTCAACAATTTCAGTAAATTATAAGATTCAAGGTGTTGGAACAAAGATTTTGGTAGTTGATTGCAATTATGGATAAAATTCCATGAAAATATCAATTGATTGCAATATGGGGACAGTTGTCCCCACATTGTCCCTCAGTTTCCCCTCCATCTTCCAGTCCTTATTCTTTCTTTCCAGCCTAATCAGTCTTACTACATTCTCCCCTTCAATCTTTTCCCTCTATCCTCTTTGCTCCAGTTTTTCACCTTATCTCCCCATCTTTTCAATGTCCACTAGCTTTTCCCTTTCCCAGCTGTGCCTTTACCCTTAACACTTCTTCTCCAGCTTCCCTTTACTCCTTACCCATTCTTTTCCAGCTGCTGAACCCTTCTTACCTCCTCTTTCCTAGCTGCCCTTTTCCCATTCCCTTACCCTTTCATCTGTACTCCTCCAACCATATCCCCCCTCTCCCTTTTGCCCACTAATGTCTCCCTCACATGCATGTGCCAAATTTTCCATCAGCTTTCATTTCCCATCCTCTTGGCCCCTGCCTTCATTACCTTACTTTCTTCTGGCCTTCTCCCATCTCCCTATTTTTCACCCCCAGCTTCTTTTTCCCTTCCTGTTCATTTTCAGTTTTTTAACCCAAGTTTAACTTTCAGGGTTACAATTATGGAAGTCAAGGCTATGGAACGACTCAGCCATATGGAACTTCAGGAACTACCAGTCAGTCAAGTGGTACAACAGGAAGCTGGGGAGGACAAAGCAGCAGTTGGAGTGGCACTGGGCAGCAGCAGTGGGGCTCTACATACAATAAGCAGCAGTGGGGTACTGGCTATGGCTCTGGAAGCCAGAGCAGCCAGAGGAGGTAGAGGAGTTGTCAGTGGAACAAATTTCCCATGGCAATTGTTGGGAAGTTGATATAAAATTTATCTTTAGTGGGAAGAATTAAACGTAAGTATGGGTTAATGTTGGTGTTAACCATTTGATCTGTGCCCTGACTATGTAGGCCAGTTAGCCTTTATCATTATGTATCCTTATTTAGTGTTCATCACATTAGGGTAAGATTTTTACTTGTCATAGTAGTGTCTGAGCACACTTTAAATATTAATGACTTGAACGAATTTGTGAAAGGTTAAGTGGTGTCAGGTATAGGATGAATGCTATAATGTTGCTTGAGGAGTTATTTACAAGCTGAGACAGTCAGGATTAATCCTGATAATGCATTATATTTAACAATAGAAATGTAGGAAATCTATTTGCATTGGCATATTGAGCGTTTGCTGTACATTTAGTTAATAGCTATAAAATACACATGTTCCAAGCTTTTAGATGATATGATAAAGCTACTCGATAATGCTAAGGAATGAGGTGTTTGCCACAAGCAGTGTACAAAGTCTTCTTGGGAATGAAGTCACTACCTGAAATTGCTTGTAAATGTCTTGACGTATTGATCAGATTTTTTTATATACAAGTTTGAGAGGTTTGGTTTCAGAAATGTGTATCACTTTGTTTTTCTTTTTTTATAATTTAATTAGTTTAACTATTTTTTTAAGCTGAAAATGAGTGGAATATTGACATTATTGTTGAGATTCAAATGATAAATAGTACTATACATAAATGCAGAAAAGCTTTTAGTTCTCAGTACCTGAATAAACTAATTCAGTTGAAGACTGGAAAGAACATATTTAGTTAATATATAATTCGATATTCGTGTTAATCACAAGTAATTATATTCTATATTTATTTAATTTATAGTGTTAAATGTGTTCTTTCATTATTTGTACCAGTTATTCTATTTCTGTCATGGCTGCCTCAATTATTAATTTTTATATTAAAGATAGCATGATATACTACGTATATACTTGTAATTTTAGAAATCCTTTTTATTGAGAGGAAGTGCACCCATTCTTCAGGGTAATTGTATGTGGTGGTAATAGATTATTACCTCTTAACACATGGTTGATCATGTGTGGAATGTGTTAGTTGAGGCTAGAATGCTTGCAAATACTGGCTATAATGTATACATACATATTGATTGTAACTAGTTTCAGTAAGTTTGCAAATTTTTGAGTGAGCCGTAATACTTTGGGTATCCAGTAAGGGGAAATTTTCTACTCATTACCTCTTGTTTAGGGATGGGACAATACCAGAATGTTTATAGGTACCGATACTCAGTTTTAGGCTGATTTTGATACCACCAAAATTAAGATACCATCAGAATTAGCCAATACTAATATTTTGGCACACCCCTGCTTTTGTCAAAACAATTCATAAATGCAACAAACAGATTCTTTCGTTGAAGTATTTGTGACTTGCATAATTCATTGTAAACACTTGGTTAACATATCCCCACCCTGTTAAATCATCCTTGCTCTGCAATCCTACTTTGTCTTGCTCACAACTTGTTTAACCCTTTCAGGATCCACACACCCCCATCCCCAATCCCCATATGAAACTTGTCCAGAGGGTCCAAAAATTTTCAAAAACAAAATGTGAAATAGTAGATATATTTTTCTGAAGGTAATGAAACAAAAAGTATGAAATTTGAAGGAAAATTGGCGAAATTACGCTATTGCGAATTTTGCTGTGTCGGCAATATTTATGCAGCGATGCTTTTGCCCACAGAATCTGTTTTAGGCCAAATATATCCCTTTCAGGGTCTGTGCCGTACATATACGGCTTAAAAGCCAGGGCCCAAACCGTAGATCTACGCCATGAGCTCAGCTCGCTCAGATAACCTGTGAGAATGAATTTGGGCATATATATGAGACAATACGACTATATGGTAAGTGAGCACCACATAAAACAAATCCTGCAGTGCGTAGTGCATAACGAAAGAGAAAAAAATGCGACCATAATTTTGGATTACAACAGCTACTTTGCGGGGTTCACATGTTTTTTACAGTTGTATTTGCGATTTCTTGGTCTTCTTTGATTGAATGGAATATATATTACAGAAGTAGGGCTGATTTTGATTGGTTTTACTACTGAAAATGGCTTGAAACTGCTCATAGTAGTGGAAATGTTCAATTTTTGTTGACGTTCAAGAGTCAGCAAATATCGCCACGAGTCTAATACGCATCAGCTGGTGGGTCTAATACATGTTCACGAATGTGCTGATATTATTTATACAATTATTACAACATTCCATAATGGTAAATCTTCTATTTTTTGGTGTGAATAAAAATTCATTATGTGAATAAGAAATCAAAATGGAATTCATTTGTAAAGCCTGAAAACGTAACTAATGTATAGAGGAAGTGTTAGTTTAGTGCCAGGAATGCCTGCACTGTTTATTCTGAACTCTATTTTGAAATTGGAATATTTTGAACTTTGTGTTAAATTGGCCAAATTACCAATTTCCAATTACTTTATTGGGTAGTTTAAATAGTTTACTGGGTAATTTCTTGGCCTCAATCGACAAAGTAGAAGTAATACTAGCGAAATAGCTAAGAATTTGGTCAAATAGAATAATGTAATTGGCCCAAAGCGAGAGTCAAAGTTGGCAAAACCACCAATGCATAAATATCACTGAGGCATCAGAATTTGCGAGAGCATAATTTCGTCAGTTTTCCATCAAATTTCGTACTTTTTACTTTATTACCTTTGGAAAAAGATCATTTCATAAGAAAAAATAATTTTTTTTTTTTTAAATTCTTGGACCCTGGCTGTCACATCTTGAGATTTGGCCTCTGGACCCTGAAAGGTTAAATTGTTCCACTCGACCAAATTATTGACTATTTTGCACAATGCCTTCCATTTTATTAACCCTTTGACTGTCGACGTCGTATATATACATCTTACGAGGTACCGTGTTTGACGTATAAATACTCATAAATTCTAGCGGCTTCAAATCAAGCATGAGAAAGCTGGTAGGCCCACATGTGAGAGAATGGTCTGTGGTCAGTGTGCACCATATAAAAAAAATCCTGGAGCATGCAGTGCATAATGAGGAAAAAAAAACACCGACCGTTTTTTTTTATTAAAATGCCGACTTTGTGGTCTATTTTTGTATAGTATTTATGGTTGTATTCTCGTTTTCTTGGTCTCATTTGATAGAATGGAAAACATATTATAGAAATAGAGGTGAATTTGATTGATTTTACTATAAAAAGAACCTGGAAATGGAGCTCAAAGTAGGGGAAATGTTTGATTTTTGCCAATGTTCAAAAGTAAACAAATGATGTTATTATCCAATAAATGTCGAACTAGCCATTCTAATATGCAGTCGTGAATGGGTTGATGTTATTTATACAATTATTACAGTATTGCAGTAGTCTGCATAACATAGTAAATCTTCTATTTTTTGTTTGAATAAAAATTCAAAATAGAAAGCAAGAGTAATATCAGAGGCTTGGAGACGTGACTGATGAACAAAGAAAATGTTATTTTAGAGCCAGGAATGTCTGCATTGTTCATTTTGGACTTTATTTTGAAATTGTCATATTTTTTAATTTTTGTGAAATTGGCCAAATTGCAAATTTCTGACCACGTTATTGGGTAGTTGAAATCGGTAAATGGGCAGTTTCTTTTACTCAATCGATAGAAAAAATGGAGTTCTAAAGAAATAGCTATGGGTTTGGTCGACTGGAACAATGGAATTAGCTGAAAATAGGGGTCAAAGTGGGCGAAATCGCCGCTTTGTAAATATCGCTCGAGGTCGCTAACTTTGTGAGAGCGTAATTCTGTCAGTTTTCCATCATTTTTTTTTTTTTTGGTGTCATTACAATCAGGAAAAAATTCTCTTATCATTTCATAAGAATTTTTTTTTTTTTAAATTTTGCCACACCAGGAGACACTTCAGGATTGGGGATTGCGACAGTCAAGGGGTTAAGGACAGATTGAGGTTTCCCGCGCGCGGAGCAAAAAAAAATTCGAAAATATATGAAAACTGAGTTATTGTTACCAAAAAATAGCTGAACTTTCTGGCTACACGCTGGTATAATTATTATCCTTGTACGATGTTTCTAAAAGGAATTACAGCCATTTATAACAGGCATGGTGACAGCGCTGACGCAACATATTGCGTAAGAAGCGCTGACTCAGCTTTGTTGACGTTTTTGTTACGTTTTTCCCCGTGTTATTTTTATCGTTTTCGTATATCTTTGTGTAAAATATAATACAAATTCACCATCTGAGATCATTCCCGAATGGGCGGAGCTACTATGGTCGCGGTACCAATTGGGAACCCCTGGGAATAGTGCACAAAATGGCCGACACCTCCAGCCAACAAAATATTCCATACCCACGCTAATATCAAATATAAGGCTTATTTATCTATCATAATTGATCTATTATGATATAATGCAATATAATAATAGCATATAAACATAAAAAGTACATCTCAAAAAAAAATATATAGCATAATATGACGCCCCAAGGAATAAATTTCTATCGATATTTCCCCTGAAGGTGAAGAGAGGGTCCGACCTCTCTCATCAGTGATGAGAGAAAACGGATTTACAATGGTTAACTGTAATAAACACTCGTAGGCCGCGGAAAAAGTGTAAAATAAAGCGAATTTTTCGGGGAAAAAAATTGTTCCCGGGCAGCGGGGGTGCCGCGCGCTGCGGCCTATATCTCGAAAGTAACTTATTTACCTATTTAGGGGAACAGCACCTTTATTTATGATTGAATTGACTTTATTTCTCACAACAAACATGGGAGAATGATTGTTTTACGGGGTAGCGATTCTGTTTCCGAACTATCCAAAATATTTTTAGATTTGTGGACAACAAGGCCGACATCTTCCAATATATCAAAAAAGTTATGAAACTTTATTTTTTTTAGCAAGAAGATAAGGTTTATTTTAGAATTCACATCGATAAGTGATGGAATTAGAGTTGTTCTAGCAGCAGCAAGTGTCAAAACCACTTGTCCAAGTACCACTGAGAAATTGTGCCCTGCCAAATGCAATTTTTCGTAAATTTTGCATATTTCATTTCCTTTTTGGCCGATATGATTGAAACTTCAGCACAGCATATTCGATATAACCTTCTAATAGTACACCAAAAATGAACGTAATCGGTCCATAAAAAATATGTCGTTAAAATTCTGACCGCATCCAACCTTAACTGAGCAAAAAAACCTCCCAATCAATTCCAGTATTTCAACTATCCAGTAAAGTGATCAGAAATTGGTAATTTGGCCAATTTCACACAAATTTAAAATATTCCAGTTTCAAAATAGGGTCCATAATAAAAATGCAGGCATTCTTGGCACTAAAATAACATTTCCTCTGTTCATCTTTATTTTTTATTCACAAAGAATTTTCACACCAAAAAAATATCAGTGCATTCGTGAACATGTATTAGACCCACCAGTTGACGTGTATTGGACATGTAATGTTTACTGTTGAACATCAGCAAAAATCAAACATTTCTGCTACTTTGAGCTCAATTTTTAGCTATTTTCAGTCCTAAACCCAGTCAAAATCATGTCTACTTCTGTAATATATCTTCCATTCTATCAAATGAGACCAAAAAAACATGAATATAACCACAAGAGTCATAGGAAAATACACCACGAAGTTGCGGTTTTAAACCCAAAATACAGTTGCAGTTTTTTTCTCATGCACTGCATACTGCAGTTTCTTTTATATGGTGCACACTTACCACGTAGACCCCTTCTCTCGTATCTTTGCCCAAATTTAATGCTCGCAGCTTATCTGAGTGAGCTGAACTCTTGGCATAGAACTACAGCACGGACCCTGACTTTAAACCCATAAAACAATAGCACAGACCCTGAAGTGGTTAATAATAATTTCACTGTACACTTTATTCGATATTCTCAACAGACTTATTCTGAAAAATTGTTAATGCTCTTTGCTCATCCTTGGATTGTTTTCCCTCTTTTGTGCATATTTTTTTTTTTTTTTTTTTTTTTAAGTCGGCCATCTCCCACCAAAGCAGGGTGACCCAAAAAGAAAGAAAATCCCCAAAAAGAAAATACTTTCATCATCATTCAACACTTTCACCTCACTCACATATAATCACTGTTTTTGCAGAGGTGCTCAGAACACAACAGTTTAGAAGCATATACATATAAAGATACACAAAATATCCCTCCAAACTGCCAATATCCCGAACCCCCTCCTTTAGAGTGCAGGCATTATACTTCCCATTTTCAGGACTCAAGTCCGGCTATATAAAAATAACCGGTTTCCCTGAATCCCTTCACTAAATATTACCCTGCTCACACTCCAACAGATCGTCAGGTCCCAAATACCATTCGTCTCCATTCACTCCTATCGAGCACGCTCATGCATGCAAGCAATCCAAAAAAATATCCCCTCCTTTTAACATCTAAATCCTTTGTATCCCAGCTACTACACCCCCATTAAATTTTACCCGCTGCCTTGTGCCCTTCCATAGTAGATATAATAATATTCCTATGATGTTTAAAAAATTTTCCAACCATACCATTTATAATGGATTAAAACTTTTAGCCAGTTTCATTTTACATATGAAAGGATTTTATCATTTTTTTTCATGAAGGGCACTCTTATTTAAAGCTCTAAATTGTTGAAATACAAGTACATATTTCATCCCCCTCTTTACATCACAAAATTTCCAATCATAGTGTATTGTGTTCCTTGGATCAAATCTGATTGCCTCCTATTTTTGGCCTGGGATATAGCCCCTAGGGGTTTAGAGCTTTCTCATGAATGTACTCTAATTTGTGCATGTGCACATGCATGTTGCTGGTCAGAAACAAGGAAGAATGGAAGCTTCTGTAAATACCATGGACTGCTGTAGCTTGAAGGGGTGAGGGTCTTCAAAAAGAGTGCCTTGATGTAGGTAAAAGGCTCTTCATTCAGGAAGCTGGAACTACCCTTTCCTTGGATCAAGCTTGATTGCCTTGCATTTCCCATGACCCCTACCAGTTCAGCATTTCCTCACAAATATAATCTAGCTGGAATCTCCTGTACTCTCAGGAGGTGGCTTGATGGTTGTCAGGAACTGGATCCCAAGAATTGCATCTGTTCTTCCCTTGGATGTAACCCAATTGCATCTTATTCCCCAGGCTCTTGAAGGCAGTCTTGATATATGCAGAACTTTGA